GATTAGAAGTGACTTTATAATGAACAATGCTCATGTGCATTAACTCATAATACTAACACTTTTTATTGGAGATTATCAAGAGGTCAGTGATAGCCAAAGGCACTTTTCTCCCACCCCTTCAGTTTCCATGACTACATATCTTTCCTAAACCACCCTGGCATCACTTAACTCACTTTCTTCCTCCTTGGGGAGGAATGACTTTTCAGATGGGTAAATTTAGGAAGGATAAATTTCCTGCTGTGCTCAATTTCTTTCCTGCTTTGCTCAATTTCTCATCTTTGTCTTTCTGGAAGCAAATTGCCAAAGCAGCAGAATTTTCCCCTGCTTCCAAACCTGAGTGTCCCTGGGCAGGACCACTCTCCCCTACACTGTAAACTGGGGATCCATCCCAGTCAGTATCACTCCTGACACCTAATTGCACACACCGAATTGTGTGACTGACACCTAATTGCACACACCGAATTGGAGTGTCTCATCATTCCTGACTGAGAGGCTGAGTCTGCCTAATTGTGGACCTAGCTTGCAGGCCCTTGTGCTTCTTGCACTAAGCAAAGCCTCTCACCTGGTTTCCATCATTAACAGAGACCACATTTTCTCCTCGTCACCCATGTTTCTGCTTTAGTCCTTATTTGTACAGAACCGAGTAGGGGTAAAGGTGATGTTATTTACTGGCTCTCTCTGAGGGACCCTGATAGTCAGAACGAGAGATGTTGTCAGATATACATACAGACTTCACAGTACTAACATTGGGCATGGATGGAAGCATTAAAACCAATAAGCCAGGTTTGTCTATCCCATTTGCTTCAAAAACATACCTTAAATTTTTACTTATTTTATCATTTTGTTCATTTGAAAATAAATTTAAAAAACATAAAAATGCACACCATCAAATGACATGTTGCAGCGTTGAAAAATATGTGAAGAAAAATGTATAGATGAGCGATAACAGGATTTATAACTCAGTGACAATCTCAGTTTTAGGACGTTTAAATTGTGAAATCTCTAAAAGCCTTAAAGTGTTGTTCAACTCATCTTTTATCCATTTGAATTGGGCTTATCATAAAGTATAAACATCTAGTTAGAATACTGGTGAGTCATTCAACTTCTCTAACCTTCACTTTGTAAAATGGTGATAAAAAATTCTTTCTCTTCTCTTAAGTTGTACAAAGATGAAATGGGAGCACATACAGTGATTTCCAAATAGGCCAGACATGGTGGCTCACATCTGTAATCCCAGCACTTTGGGAGGCGAGGCGGGCAGATCACTTGAGGTCAGGGGTTCGAGACCAGCCTGGCCAACATAGTGAAACCCCATCTCTACTAAAAATACAAAAAAAAATTAGCTGGGCATGGTGGCACACACCTGTAGTCTCAGCTGCTGGGGAGGGTGAGGCATGAGAATTTCTTGAACCCGGGAGCCAGAGGTTGCAGTGAGCCGAGATTGCACCACTGTACTCCAGCCTGGGCAACAAAGTGAGACTCCGTCTCAAAAAACAGAAAACAAAAAAAGAAAGTATAAATAATAAAATAACACACTATTATGAATGATCATCTCTTTTGTGAACTATTATTATTCCTATTATATGAACACTTTTTTTTTTTTTTTTTTTACTCAGGGAGTCATGTAACTCTGCTATACGTATTTCTTCAAGTTAAATAACAATGATTTATTAATGAACTCCTGCATGCTCTTAGGAAAGGTGCTACGTGTACTATGGACTAAAAAAAAAAGTAGTGCATGTTTCCCACATTCAAGAAGCTTTTATTTAAGAGAAGAGATGCAATAAACACAGTGGAAACTAAGTAAAAAGAAATTAGAGTGGATTTTGTGCCATAAACATCGTAAGAAAAGAAGAGGTTAAAAAAAATATAAGAGGGCACTAGACATGATTTTAAGGATAACTGAGCTCAGATGGATGTAGGAGAGCAGGTCAGTGATTTCAAGGGAGGCAAATAAGTGGGAAAGATTAGACAAGAACAAGCATGGTGAGAGCACTGGAGGAGACGGGCGAGTTGATTCTCTACTCTCCGTTTAACAGCTCATCAAGCTTTGTTCTATTGCTTCAAGGTAAAAAAGAAAAACAAAAAGATGGGTGCCAACCTCTTCACATGGTGTTTGGTTAGATGTGGCAAAAGTATAGTTTTTAAAATCTATGTAAAGAATTCTATGAATTTCCAACTTATACTCTAAGTATAAAAATAGTTGAATATCGATGATCATACACTACAAAAGAATTGCCATTTATGGGCTTTATTAATGTTCTAGAACCTATAAGTATTTTACATTCTTATACATGTGAGGTCCTCAGGCTTCAAGACAACCCTATGAAAATCAGTTGCTGTTTTACATCCCCTGCTTGAGTTTCAGGAAAATGGAATCACTCGTGAGAGAACACAGATTGTGTAAATGGTGGAACAAGAATTCAAACCCACATCTGACTTACATGCTTGCCCACAATACAGTCAACCCCAGACCATAGTATCCATTGATGGGGGTGGAAATTAGATTTTGACATGAAGGTAAAAACATAGTTAAAGTATGTGGTTCAAATATTTAATCATTCTGGGAGCATCATTCTTTATGGTTGCAATCCGTATTCTCTTTAGAGAAGAAAGATATTACTGTGGCAACATTCACAGAAAGTACACTTCAGCCTGAAGCTCAGCAAGTCATCTTTTTTTGGGGGGGAGGTGGTAATTAACTGAGTACCCTGGCCTTCATCCACTTTTCTGATGATTTCCCTAGCTACTCCGGGTTAAGCTTCTGTCACAAAAATTATCCTGAGCCATTTGTTTAGCCTGTTTGATATTCACTACATTTATTTTCCTTAGACAGCAGTATTGTGAATGCTGACTATATTTAACGTGCTTAGCTGTACCAGGGAAATAATCATCTTTGGCTTACTTAAAATATCCAATTTTCTTAGCCTTTGAAGAAAATCTAGAGCTAATATGGAGTAATTGGTGATGAGATAGGACAGATCCAAGTGCAATTTCAAGGCTCTTAATTTTCACCTGCAGAGGAAGATTTATTATGTTAGAAAGGGTTTTGGAGAGATTTTTTTTTAATTAAGAGGCACATTAAATGAATATTGGCTAGTAGTGTACCGGTTCAGGAAGAGGGGTAAATCTCTGAGTTGCTTCCTTTCTTTCAAGACAAACTTTAAATAATTCTATTTAACCAAAGAGAAGATGGAGAGAAAGCAATATAAGAATATAATTAAGTTTAACTTTTAACCTTCTCTGCTTGGTATTTGCCTCTATTCTTTCACACCATAGTTAAGTGTGAAGGTAGTCCTCATCCATATTTAGAAGCGGCCTCAAAAAGAAGCAAAGGAAGGAAAGAATAAATCGAAATGTTCACTGCCTATCCTATATTCCTGCCAATATCTAGGAGTGGCCTTAAAACAATACCCTTGCTATCTCAGAGTCCATGCTACTTTTGATACACTAGCAGTATTTCTGTGGTTTTCACGTAACACATAAGCCATGTTCATGACTGAAGACCATGGCACCATAGGGAAATCTCACCACTGAATTTATAATGAAACAAATGTGTTCTCTAAGAAGAGGCATCTCATGGTATAACTGTCATGATACAAGGTCTCAAGCCAGCCCTTCCCACTTAAAAAAATTTCCTTCCACTTCCAATCATAGCAATTTTACAAAGAAACTGATCAACTTTCCTTAAATAATTATTCCAGGACTTAAGTTGTGCCCTAGAGAATAGACATATTCAGGTCTCTCTGGAGTGTGGAGAGTGAGAAGATTTGTTTCCATGGAAAAATTTCTCCACTCAGTTTAGTCAGCCATTGGCAAGAATAGTTCCTATTATTGTAAAATGTGTGTATTTGAAATATATTAGCTAGGCAGGTCGACTCTGAACTTTACAAAGATTTTGCAACTACAGAATTTCTTTGCTGATTTTGTATTTTTCCTTAAATATAGCTTTAAATGCTGAGCCACATGTTAGTTTTATTGTTGATGCATTACAGAAGAGAGATACAATAATACTGAGGCTAACTTATTATTTTGAGCATTAAACTTTTAGACTAAAATCTCGTCTGTGCACATTCTTAATGAGGTACATTTTCAAAGAGAGCTTTAGCTATATAACCTCTGTTGTCATGAATAAATTCATTTGGCTAATTTCCTCTGTGTCTCCTTGAAACTTCACAGTAACAGGAAAAAGTTAACTCTGACTTTTCACTAAAGTAATGTTTAAAAGTTTCTGCTAATTCCAACCTCAATGCACCAGAGATATTTAGGGATTGCTGAATATTGTGAAGACAGATGTAGGAGTTGGATATTTGTTCAGGTGCCTCAGTCTTCTAATTATTTTTTCATTATGCATTTTCCCCTGTAATTTGTTTAAATTTGGAATCACGTCACCAATTACTTCATTGCTGTCTGGTCTTCAATATTCTCTTGTTTATTTGTTAGAGAATTTCTGTGACAAGCCATTAATAACTATGCATTTGCTGACATATTAAGTCACATATCCTTAATTCTGTTCAATTAGATGTCTGGGGAAAGTACTTGATTCTAAATGTACTATCCTGATCTTACTAATCCAGGTACCTTAGAGTATGTCTTCACTTATCATAGAGATTTAGAAAACAAAAAAGAACACTTAGTACTAAAAGGAAGATTAACATAGAAAAACTTGAGCTCTAACTTCAGAAGATTGTAGTTGATTCCAGTTCTACTGATTGCTAGTTCATAATGTAGTCAAGTTACTCAGCAAATTTGAAGAAATTTCTTTATCTATAAAAATGGAAAATACCTATGGATTATCTCATGTGTAACAGAACTAAGCTTACTATAACTTACAAGAGACAAATACTCAAAATCAGCATAAAGAAAATAATGTTTTTGGCAATATTCTATTCACAATGTTTGGGATTCTTCCTACCAATAGTTATGTATGAAGAAGACACACTAAAGTAACCATTAGAAAATCTAGGTTACAATACTAGGCACTTTTAATTAGTGCTTACCATTTAAATGAATACTAGGTATGTGGCTTGTATCAAAATTATTCTGTGTCTCAGAAGCACTCTGTGAAGTTGGTATTATGATGATTTTCATCCTGTGGGCAGGGAAACTGAGGTTCAGAGAGGTTTGGTGATTTGCATAGGACGACAGCCAGCAGCATTTCTGGAAAAATTTGACCTATCTTCAAAGCTCAGTGTGTCCTAACCTTAGTACCATTCTGCCTCTACAACTAAGTTCTACTATTAAGTCACAAAGGGACCCTGGGCAACTCATTACTTTATCATGACCTATATCTTGGAGAAGTTTGAATGAGCTTTCATGTCTTCTTACTCAAAATATTTATGATTATTTGTCTTCATCTTTGTCACATGAACAAGATACCCCACACATTTACTTGAGATGAACATGGGCATGCCTCTTATGAAAGATATTACTCTCTTGACACAAACAAATGGAAGAACATTCCATGCTCATGGATTGGAAGAATCAATATCATGAAAATTGTCATACTGCCCAAGGTAATTTATAGATTCAATGCCCCCCCCGTCAAGCTACCAATGACTTTCTTTACAGAATTGGAAAAAACTACTTTAAAGTTCATATGGAACCAAAAAAAAGTCCACATTGCCAAGACAATCCTAAGCCAAAAGAACAATCCTAAACCAAAAGCTGGAGGCATCACACTACCTGACTTCAAACTATACTACAAGGCTACAGTAACCAAAACAGCATGGTACTGGTACCAAAACAGATATATAGACCAATAGAACAGAACAGAGGCCTCAGAAATAACACCACACATCTACAACCATCTGATCTTTGACAAATCTGACAAAAACAAGCAATGGGCAAAGGATTCCCTATTTAATAAGTGGTGCTGGGAAAACTGGCTAACTAGATGTAGAAAGCTGAAACTGGATCCCTTCCTTACACCTTATACAAAAATTAACTAAAGATGGATTAAAGACTTAAATGTAAGACCTAAAACCATAAAAAACCTACAAGAAAACCTAGGCAATACTATTCAGGTCATAGGCATGGGCAAAGACTTCATGACTAAAACACCAAAAGCAATGGCAACAAAAGCCAGAATAGACAAATGGGATCTCATTAAACAAAAGAGCTTCTGCACAGCAAAAGAAACTACCATCAGAGTGAACAGGCAACCTACAGCATGGCAGAAAACTTTTGCAATCTGCCATCTGACAAACGGCTAATATCCAGAATCTAGAAAAAACCTAAACAAATTTACAAGAAAAAAACAACCCTGTCAAAAAGTGGGCAAAGGATATGAACAGACACTTCTCAAAAGAAGACATTTATGCAGCCAACAAGACACATGAAAAAAATGCTCATCATTACTGGTCATCAGAGAAATGCAAATCAAAACCACAATGAGATACCATTTCACACCAGTTAGAATGGCAATAATTAAAAAGTCAGGAAACAACAGATGCTGGACAGGATGTGGAGAAATAGGAATGCTTTTACACTGTTGGTGGGAGTGTAAATTAGCTCAACCACTGTGGAAGACAATGCGGCGATTCCTCAAGGATCTAGAACTAGAAATACCATTTGACCCAACGATCCCATTACTGGGTATATACCCAAAGGATTATAAAACATGCTACTATAAAGACACACGCACACGTATGTATTTTGCGGCACTATCCACAATAGTGAAGACTTGGAATCAACCCAAATCTCCATCAATGATAGACTGGATTAAGAAAATGTGGCACATATACACCATGGAATACTATCCAGCCATAAAAAAGGATGAGTTCATGTCCTTTGCAGGGACACGGATGAAGCCAGAAACCATCATTGTCAGCAAACTATCACAAGGACAGAAAACCAAACACTGCATGTTCTCACTCATAGATGGGAGTTGAACAATGAGAACACACATGGACACAGGACAGGGAACGTCACACACTAGGGCCTGTTGGAGGTGGGGTGCTGGCTGAGGGATAGTACTAGGATAAATACCTAATGCAAATGACGAGTTGATGGGTGAAGCAAACCGACCTGGCACATATATACCTATGTAACAAACCAGCACGTTGTGCACATGTACCCTAGAACTTAAAGTATAAAAATAAATAGAGATATTACTCTCTTTACTGCCTCCCTGCTATTTAAATTCATCTAAGTAAACCACATCTACTACTAAGTCCCAGGAAATATTTATCTGAATATGCATAGCAATAGTTTTATGCATGCCAATTTTCCTCCTAAATAAACAGACCCAGGAAATACTTCATCTGGTACAAAAGTATATTATTTTTTCTTTCCATGAATAATCTAATGCCTGCTTAGTACCAGGCTTGATGGTTAAAATGGATGTGATAATTGATAAAAGTGTTAGCCCTTTTCATAAAGGGATGTATCTGGATTGGCAAGAGAGGAGAACAGGAAAAGTATTTTCAAGCTCTAATGAGAATTTCATACTTACAGAAAATTAAAATTCCTAATATTGGTTTAAAAGCCATTAGCAGTCCATTCCTAAGACAAAGGTTCTTGGAATCACTAACACCCATTAACATTGAGCTTGTCAGCATGTCATTAGGGCTCACCTTCCAAGTGTACCCTAATCAATAGCATGTCCTGACACTGCAGTGAGCCCAAACCACTGGTTACTCCCCACATTACAGTGGGACAGGTAAATTTGAGTGTCCCTTTTGAAATGCAAATTTGCCATGTCTCTCTCTGTGTGTGTGTGTGTGTGTGTGTGTGTGTGTGTGAAGACTTGAAACAGTTCATTCTCTTGTTCCATTAATTCCACTCTATGACTCTATCTTAAGAACACAATTCTAAATACATAAGGAACTTCACACACAATTTATTACATAATTTTCCAAATACTAAAAGAAGAAATTACTTATTCTAAAGTCAGGATTAGTAAACTATATTATACACATTTATAGACTATAATATAGGTATTAAAATATTTATGAAAAATCTGTAATCTAATGTAAAAATACCTGTGTTCTAATATTGAATTTAAATCTGTGTAAAATTTTATAGTAATACAATATTACTAAGTTTAAACGATCAGATATACATGGAGAAAAATATTGAAAATAAACAAATGAAAATATTATCAGTGGTTATTGTTAGAATGGTGGGACTGGGGGTATTTTCCTCATGTTTCTTTCTTTTGTATTTATACGTTTTCCTCAATGATTGTTTATTACCTCTGTAGTAGAAAATCATATACTTCCCCAACACTCGGGTTTGGTTTCCAATAATTTTCAGTGTATTGATGTTTTCAAATTTAAATTTAGTTTTGTAATTTATGAAAGCATGTATATATAAAGGCTTACAAATTGTGTTTGGTTATACCTCAACTCTGAGGTTCTCAATGAGGGTTGGGGGAGTGATCTCACCTACCCTGCACCCACTGGACATTTGGCAGTGCCTTGAAACACTTTCACTTGTCACAACTCCCAGAAAGGTGCTATTGGCATTTCGTTGGTAGAGACCAGGGATGTTGTCAATCATCCTATAGTGCAGAAGACAGCACGTAACTCAAAGAATCATCCAGACCCAAGTGTTCATAGTGCCAATGTTGAGAATCCCTGCCTAAAACAAAATGTTTAAAAATTATTAATATACTAATTCAAGCCTGTTGTGTAAATTCTGAGTAACTATTATATTACCAGAGCCTCTGAATAAACTTGCCTGTCCATGATCCACCTAACAGTTCACTGACTCCCACAGGGCGTTGAGGATAGAAAGATAAGTGTTCTACCTACGTGATGCTTGAAATTTATCAAAAGAGAAAGACATAGAAATCAAGAGTTTAATGCACTTTGAAGTACTATGAAACAGGCACTTGATCTAACTAGGTGGTTCAAAGGAGGTTTTCTGGAAAAAATACCTCCTAAGCTGAGCTTAAAGGATAAGAAGGAGTTAATCAGAATCATGTGAACACCTAAGAGATGTGTTCTAGAAGGAGGAGCGTTCATACTTCAAAGAAAGGCATGAAAATGAAACAGTAGAGAGTGTTTGGAAAATGATGGGGAGTTTGCTAGCACTAGAGCATAAGATAGGCACAGAAGAAAGGGAGAAGGAGCCATAGAAGTTTCAGAGTCAGAGCCTCTTTTTTTCTGCTTAAAGTATACTTCCCAGTACGGGGATGAGGTTGAGATAAGACAAGTATATTGATTTAAAAAGCATGTTGGTTTAAAAGGACAAGTATATTGATTTAAAAGGATAATCTATTAAAGATGCAATTGAAGAACCCACTGATAAATACAGCCATACCTCAAAAATAGTGTGGGTTCTGTTCCAGACCACTACAATAAAAATAATCACAATCAAGCAAATCACACTTTCCTTTTATGGTTTTCCTGTGAATATAAAAGTTATGTTTACACAATACTGTAGTCTATTAAGTGTGCAGTAGCATTATGTCTAAAAAACAATGTGCAACCTGTACTTTAAAAATACTTTACTATTAAAAATTGCTAACAATCATTTGATTCTTCAGCAATATTGCGAAAAGATAAGCAAGTATAATATTTTTGCTGGTAGAACTGGCCTTAATGTTGTTGGCTGCTGACTGATCAAGGTGATAGTTGCTGAAGTTTGGAGTAGTTGTGGCAATCTCTTAAAATAAGACAATGAAATTTGCCTCACTGATTGAACTCTTCCTTTCACAAGAGATTTCCCTGTAGCATGTGATGCTGTTATTTTATCTACTGTAGAACTTCTTTCAAAATTAGACTCAATCCTCTCAAATCCTGCTGCTGCTTTCTCAATTAAGTTTATGTAGTATTCTAAATTCTTAGCTATCAATTCAATAATGTTCATAGCATCTTCACCAGAAGTCGATTCCATCTCAAGAAACCACTTTCTTTGCCCATCTAGAAGATGGTACTCCTCATTTGTTCTAGTTTGATCATGAGATTGTAGTAGTTCAGTTAAATATTCAGGCTCCCCATTCGAATTCTAGTTCCCTTGCTATTTCTACATTTGCAGTTACTTCCTCTACTGAATTATTGAACCCCTCAAAATCATTCATGAGAGTTGAAGTCAACTTTTTCCAAACTCCTGTGTTATTTTAACCTCCAATAATGAATTGTGAAAGTTCTTAATGGCATATAGAATGGCGAATCCTTTCCAGAAGGTTTTCAATTTACTTTGTCTAGATCTATCACAAGAATCACTCTTTATGGCAGCTATAGCTTTACAAAATGTATTTCTTAAATAATAAGATGTGAAAGTCAAAATTACTCCCTGATGTAAGGGCTGCAGAATGGATGTTGTGTTCAGAGGCAAAACAACAACATTAATACATCTCCGTCAGAGCTCCTGGACGACCAGGTGCATTGTCACTGAGCACTAATATTTTGAAAGGAATCTCTTTGTGAGCAGTAGGTCTCAAGAGTGGGTTTAAAACTTTCAGGAAACCATGCTGTAAACAGATGTTTTGTCATTCAGGCTTTGTTCCACTTATAGAACACAGGCAGAGTAGATTTAGCATAATTTTTAAATCAGCCAAAAAGTAGACTTTAACTCTCATGAATGATTTTGAGGGGTTTAATAATTCAGT